ACTACTACTACTACTACTACTACTACTACTACTACTACTACTACTACTACTTACTACTACTTGCTACTAGTTACTACTACTTACTACTACTTACTACTACTACTACTACTACTACTACTACTACTACTACTACTACTACTACTACTACTACTACTACTACTACTACTACTTCTACTACTACTAATACTAATACTACTACTACTACTACTACTACTACTACTACTACTACTACTACTACTACTACTACTACTACTACTACTACTACTACTTCTACTACTGACTACTACTACTACTACTACTACTACTACTACTACTACTACTACTACTACTACTACTACTACTACTACTACTACTACTACTACTACTACTACTACTACTACTACTACTACTACTACTACTACTACTACTACTACTACTACTACTACTACTACTACTACTACTACTACTGCTACTACTACTACTACTACTACTACTACTACTACTGCTACTATATGCTACTCCACCTTATGTCCGCATTGCTGAAGGTTCGAGGCTCCCTCCTCCTGTTATCCTCTTGTCCTCCCCCCATCCACTTCAATTTCTGCTCCCGTTCTTGCTCCTTCATCCTCTTCTTTCTCCTCTTCCTCCTCTTCCTCCTCCTCCTCCACGCAATGTCTGGGCAGATGGTTCAGGGGGAGGGGGGGGGGGGCTGGCACAGCCGTCCGCCCCCGCCCCCCGCTCTTTCCCGCCTGCCCCGCCTCCGTCTTCGCTTCTCCGCAGCCTTGCCCCCCTTCTTCTCCCCCTCCTCGTCCTCCTCCTCCTTCTCTTCCTCCTCCTCCTTCCTCCTGGCGCGGCCCCAAAAAGGTCTATGCCACTCGCCTGTGCGGACTCTGAGCTTCATCGGCAACGCAACGACAAGGCAAAGCTCGGCGTCGCCCGGCCCGCCCACCACCGCGGCCGCCTGTGCGGGCGCCCCCGCCGGCGCGCCCAGTGCGCCAGCTCGTCCGCCAGCGCGGCAGCCGCCGCCTGCGTGGCTGCGCACCCCCTTGGCCGTGCGGAGCTGAACACGGCGCCCCGGCGGGCGGGGAGCGCACTGGCGGCTGCGGCGGCCTCCGGCCCGTCGCCCAGCAATTGGGCGCGCCCGCACGGCAGCCAGCGCAGGTGCTTCAGCGCAGCCGGCCCGCCACGCTCAATTCGCTCACCCTGCTCCTTCGCTTGTGGCTCTCCCTTCGGCATGCCCTGCCCTGCTACGTGCAGCGTGCGCGCGCAGCGAAACTGGGGGGCTGCAGCAGGGATGAGGGATGAGGAACACCGGAGAGGAAGGAGGGACGGAGGAAGGGAACGAGGGAGGATACAGTAAGAGGAGAAGCAGGAGGAGGAGGAGGAGGAGGAGGAGGAAGAGGAGAAGGAGGAGGAGGAGGAGGAGGAGAGCCGGAAGTGAGGGTGAAGCAAGGAAGGGGGGAAGGAGGAGAGAGAGAAGAAGAGAAGGAAGAGAAAGGCGGAGGAAAAAGGGAGAGGAGCATGGATGGAGGACGGGAGGCATGGTGGGAGATAGGGATGCGGAGCGGACGGGCACTTGCGGGAAAGACGTCAGCAGAGTGCGAACGCAATCCGACCCAGATGCCTCCATGCCCACTCCTGCCCCGAGACTTCTCCTTCACCCTCTGTCCCCGCCTCATCGACGACGAGCAAGAGTGACCCTGGGTAAGAGAGACCTTTGGTGCGCGGCATTAGGGGGGCGCGGGGGGGCCAAGCGCAAGCGCGCAAGCCGCTGATGTCGCAGCGCGTTCGGCGATGGGGGGTCCCATCTGGGCCCGCACCGAAGGTCACTCTGGGGAAAGGTCACTCCTACGTCTAGCCGGCCTCGTCACTCCTCCTCCGCCTCTGTTGCTCACTCTCCGGTCTTCCTCCTCTCGGCTCTCCTCCCGTAGATGGACAAAAAAGTGGAACCCTTGACGCCACGCCCCCCCCTCCCCCCAATTTCAAAGTTGGCCTCAAGCATTTGGCAGCACAGGCGTGAGAGGACAAAAAAAGTGGAACCCCCAGGGCCTCCGAGAGGCCGAACCCGACTTTGAAATTGGGAGGAGGGGGGGGGGACGAATGCGGGGCCGAAGACGAAGGGGTTCCATCTTTTTGTCCCCTTACCGTCCCCCCTCCTCGGCCTTCTTCCCCTTCCCCGAGCGCCCCTGGCCCCGACCTGCCCTGGAGCTCTCTTCCGGCACCGTCTTCGGTCCCGGCCACTGGGGGGCCTGGTCGCGCCGGCTCCTTGTCGCCGAGGATTTTGATAAACTGCGCCTGGGCCGGGAGGAGGAGGAGGAGGAGGAGGAGGAGGAGGACGAGGAGGAGGAGGCAAGTTAGGTGCGCTCGCGTCAACATCTGACATCCTACCCCTCCCTCCCATCCCTTACCATGGCGCTGATTTTCTCTATCCGCGGACGCGTGTCGTAGCGGACCTGTGGCTCCGCGCGCGTCTGCGTAGTGGGTGGTGGTGCGCGTGCGTGCGTGCGTGTGTGCGTGGTTGTGGTTGTTGTGGTGGTGGTGTGTATGTGTGTGTGTGTGTGGGTGTGCGTGAGTACGCGTGTGCTGTGGTGTGACGTGGTGTGGCGTCTTGGTGGTTTGGTGGTGGGCCAGGTGCGTACGTGCGTGATGGCGGTGGTGGTTGTATGGTGGCGGTGGTGGTGTGTGTGTGTGTGCGTGTGTCTGTGTGTGTGTGTGTGTGTGTGTGGGCGCGTGTGTGTGTGTGTGTGTGTGTGAGTGTGAGTGTGTGTGTGTGTGTGTGTTGTGTGTGTGTGTGTGTGTGTGTGTGTGCGTGCGTGCTGTGCGTGCGTGCGTGCGTGCGTGCGTGCGTGCGTGTGTTTCTGTTGTGTGTGCGCGCGTGTGATGTGGTGTGACGCGGTGTAGCGTGGTGGTGGTTGGTGGATGGTAGTAGTGCGGGTGGTGGCGGTGCGCGGTGGTGGTGCGCGTGCGTGCGTGCGTGCGTTGGTGGGTGGAAGTGGCGGTGGGTGTGCGTGCGGCGGGGCGGGGCGTGGTGCGGCGCGGTGGTGGCGGGCGGATGGGCGCGCGAGAAAGAGGCCCGCGCTGGGGCGAGAACGCCATCCTGAACGACGGAGGCAAAACACCGATCCGAAAATGAGGCCCACGCTGCAGTGGGAGCACGATTCGGAACGATTCGGGAGCAGAAATGAGGCCGGCGCCTCAGCGAGAGCAGCATTTTGAAAAAAAACGCAAGCAACAACCCAACTCCGGGGAATCGTGTGTGTGTGTGTGTGTATATAAAAAACACAATACGCGGGGGGGGGGGGCGAATACGCAAAAGACGTCATCAGGGGAAGAGGGAGAGTAGTATTCATATTGAGTAATTGTAGGAGGAGGAGGAGGAGGAGGAGGAGGAGGAGGAGGAGGAGGAGGAGGAGGAGGAGGAGGGCTGTGTTGCTGGGCGGAGCGGCGTTGCTCCCGCTCTGGCCCAAAGTCGAGTTCCGTGGCTTAGAGCGAGTCCAGCCGCCTAAGCCACCGCGTTCATCTCTGCTCGTGCTTGAGCACGATTGGGAACGCCAAGGAAGTTTTTGGAGGTGCCGAGTGTGTTTGCGAGGCTCCAGAGCTTAATCCAAGCCGAGTGGCGGTTCGGAGTGTGCGGGCCGCAGCAGGCTCGACAGGTGTGTTCTGGAGCGTCTCGGGCATCGGGTGATTGCGTTCCCATGCTCTGATAATTCCTTCCTGTTCCTGTGCATGTCGTGCAAGTTTTATAGCAGCGGTGGAGTTGTGTTTGGCCTTGGGCGCAAGTGCGCTCCTCCTACGGTGTCTGGCGTGAAGCACATGCGTAAGCTCCGTAAAGGCCTGCACCCTGACAAGAAGGGTGTGTTCGTCGACATCGACGAATTCATCCCGCTGCTATAAGGTAAAGGTTCAGTGCCTGCCAGTTGCGCCTCTGGACTGTTTGAGCAGATACTGTGCACAGAGGCCGCGGCGTTGCTGCCAAAAAAAAAAAGGAGGAGGAGGAGGAGGAGGAGGAGGAGGAGGAGGTCTGAGCCGCGTGTGACGCGGACGCGTCGCACGCTAAAGGCCGCTGACGCGCCGCTGCCGCGTCGCGACTGGCATGCCTCCGAGCTCTTCGGGGGTGGCGATGCCGAGGGGGCCCAGGGACACACGAAGAAGTACACACAAATCCCAGGATTCCCTATATTTTTCAATATTTTTTGGATCCTCGTCTTTCCCCCCCCCCTCGGAAAGGCTCGGGACCTCGGCGCCTGGGGGCCTGGGACACGGATGGCGCGTCGCGCCCGAGCGTGGTGGGCCAGAAGCGGCGGAGAGACGCACCGACCGACAGCTCCCCCTCCTCGTCCTCCTCCTCGTCCTCCTTGTCCTCCTCGTCCTCCTCCTCCTCCTCCTCCTCCCTCCTCCTCCTCCTCCTCCTCCTCCTCCTCTCTCCCCTCCCCCTCCCCTCCCCCTCCCCTCCCCTCCTCCTCTCCTCCTCCTCCTCCTCCTCCTCCTCCTCCTCCTCCTCCTCCTCACGACAACGTCCAAAAACCTGGAGCGTCGACTTCGAGCAGCTCGGGGCAGATCTCCCCCCTGCCGCGCTCCGCCGCGCGGTGTTCGGCGGCGGCGACAGGGGCGACTGGCCCAGGGGCGTGCACTACACGCATCCGCCTGGGAGCCTCGCCGAAGGCATGGACCATCGGGACCCCTGGATACACGTGTTGCAGCGCCGTTTGTTCTCGACGCGCCCACTCCTCCTCCTCCACCTCCTCCTCCCCTTCCTCCTTCTCATACATTTCTGAAACCTCAAGAGGCCTAGGGAAACGATCGCGACGGCGGCTGGAGGCACCGCTGGGCGGGAGCGCGGCGCCTTGCCCGCGAAGTCCTCGCTGAGCTGATCCACTTTTGGGTCCTGGCGAGGGATCCCAGGAAATCCCCCGCGCGCGCCAGTCGGGAGGAGGGAGAAAGGAAGGAGTGAGGAGGAGGGAAGGGAGGAAGAAAAGCGGGAAGGAGAGAAAGGGGATGATGCTCGCTCGCTTGCTACCTGCATGTGTCCGTTTTTCGGGTCACTCGAAACAGCGGCAGCCGCAGGACCTTCGAGAACACTGTGCCGCCGCCGGCGTCGAACATGAGGGAAGTCCTCCCCCAAGCAGCCAGCTCGGGAACTCCAATCAGCAGCACAGGATTGGACATCCGAGACATCCTTTCGGATATACAGGGAAGAGACGAGAGAGACCCAACGGCAGCAAAGGGCGGCAACGGCCGAGAATAACGAAATGCGGCAGAAAGCCAGCCATGCCGCACATGGACAACATACAACAACACCACATACCAGGGCCACGAGGACGCAGGTATGGGGTTGCGTAATGTGGTACGAGGTGGAACAATGATGATGATGACAATGATGATGATGATGCTGCTGATGATGATGATGCTGCTGCTGATGATGAGTATGCTGATGCTGCTGCCGATGATGAAGATGATGCTGCTGATGATGATGCTAATGACGATGGTGATGATGATGGTGATGATGGTGATGGTGATGATGATGATGATGATGATGATGATGATGATGATGATGATGATGATGATGATGGTAATGATCAGGAACGGGAGGGGATACGTAAAGGAGGACTATGAGGAGGGAACGGACGAGGAGTGGGAGGAGGAGGAGACAACGAGAGGGAGTAGGGATTTGATGTATGGATAAACGAATTCTTCGAATGTGTTACGGTGATTGTCTGATGTTTTCCCACATGCGCACGTTCTGACGCTTTCGAACGCTTTCGGAAGTTCTCGGATGGCTCCGCGAAGGCAGGGGGGAAAGGGGGATGACGAGGGGGATGAGGATGAGCAAGACCAGGAACACGAGCATGCAGGAGAAGGAGGAACGAGTGAAAGGAGCTCGGAGAGACGAAGCAGAGACGGGATATGATGCCATTGACGGTGATGGCGATGACTAGGACGACGAAGACGACGATGTTCATCAGGACCTGGGCCGGCCACAGAGCCTGCCAAGCTTGCGCCTCGCCGCGGCCGCGTGGAGCCGTGCTGCCCTCCAGGCACGGCTGCACTGCTCAAGACGTCAAACTGCTGCGGCGACCAAGAAGCCCGGCGGCGGCAGTCAGCACCGCGGGCGGCGCCCACACGGCCACGCGCACTGCTGCACCGAACACGGGCACCGCGAAGTAGGTGCCCGCAACGCGGTTCGCCCGTCGGGAGCCACTCCGCCTCTGGATCGCCGACCTGCAGGTGCCGCGAGGCCACCCGCAGCCGCGGGGCGCCCGCCGCCGAGGAGCCTGTTCGCTTGCTGCTGCCCGCGACGCCGTCCCGCGGGTCGCAGGCCACCAGCAGCGAGGAGCGCGCCGTCGGGACGAAGCGTCCGCACCGCTGGCAGCCGAGCGTGCCGCCGCCGACGAACACCGCGTGGCCCCGCGCAGCCTGCGATGAAGCCGCCGCGCCCGCCACCGTCGGCGGAGGCGCGGCGGTCGGGGCCCGCTCGGCCAGCGACCGCGTGCCGTCTCGCTGCCGCTCCGGCGGCGGCTCCTGGCCTGGCGCACGCGGCGTTGCGCCCGCGCCCCGCTGCCAGCAGGGGGGGGGGGAGCGCGCTGCTGCTTGGCTGGTGGGTCGATCTGCGCGGCGGCGGCGGCGGCGAGCAGGGCGCAGCGGCCACAGGGGCCTGCGGCCTGGCAGCTGCGCCTGGGCTGCGCTCGAGACGCAAGCGCGGGGGCTCGGCGTCCACGGCGAAGTCGGGCCCGGGATGCCTGCGGCAGGCGCCGGCCGCCTCGGTCGGGAGCAGCCGCTGCCGCTCGGCTGCCCTGTCACCGCGCCCGCCGGCCGACGAGGGGGCCTCCTCCGCGCCAGCGTGGCCGTCGCCGCTCCAGGCGCCAGCCGCCGCGCCATCCCGATCGCCAGCAGCGCCGCGGCTCGAGCCGAGTCCTGGCGACGAGGACCTCCCTTCCGTCGGTGCCCTCTGCCGCGACAGCCGACTGGTCTCGGTGAGCAGCGCGCGCCGAAAGTGGCGAGCCCGCGGCATGACGCGACGATTCCCGAGGTCCTGACCTTTCGAGCCCAGCACGCGGCATCGAGGCTGGCCCAGTCGTCGACGCCGCTGGTCGGGGGGGGGGCTTTGCTGTAGAAGACGATCCCTGCTCCGCTTGCTGGCTTTCCCCGCTCGCCGCTGCTGGGGTCTCAGGGGAATGCGCGTCGCGAGTGGGCGCGGGCGCCCATGGGTTTCCCGTCGCCGTGATGTCCAGCGCCTGCGCGCCCAGCCTCACGTGGCACACGTGGAATCCGAGCTGATCCCTCGGCATCTCGCCGCTGCGCGCCGTCGTCGCTGTTGGCATCGCTGCCCTCGTGGTGGGTTCCAGCTTGGCGGCTGGCTTGGTCGCTTGGCGCGTGGGCCTGGGGGCTGAGGAGAGAAGATCATCCAGCCATCGTCGGCGCTCTTCCAGCTCCTCGTTATGGGTCGTCACGTCTACCTCAAAGCCCTCGGGGTCAGTCCTCTCGAACGCCTGAATCGCCACGCGAAGCTGTCGCCTAGAACGCCGACCAGCTCGCCGCGCCTGGTCACAGACCTCCCGCTCCAGCTGGAGTCGTTCTGAAAGGTCCGTCCCGTGCTGGAACAGGGCGTCGGAACCTCAGGCGGAGGAAGGGCAGCGATGGCCCCTGCCGGCTGCTGCTGCGGCACGCGGGGCGCTTCTGGCGGCGCACGCCGCCGGTGGCCTCGTACCGGGCCGCTGCAGAAGTAGGGCGGGCCTGCTGTGGGCCGCGGAGGGGGGCCCTCGCCGAGCTCGGCACGGCAGGCTGCGATGCGCGCCCCCCTCGGAGGCGCAAGCGGCCACGCGGGCGGCGCGGCGCAGCGGGCGGGCGGTACCCCGCTGGCGGTGGCGAGCAAGAGCAGCAGCGGCTGCAGCGGCTGCAGCGGGAGGGGAGGGAGGGAGGGAGGGAGGGAGGGAGGGAGGGAGGGAGGGAGGGAGGAGGAGGGAGGGGGAGGAGGAGGAGGAGGAGGAGGAGGCGGAGAGGAGGAGGAGGAGGAGGTGGAGGAGGAGGAGGAAGGAGGAGGAAGGAGGGAGGAGGAGGAGGAGGAGGAGGAGGCGGATGCGGAGGCGGAGGTGCGCTGGCGCGGCGGCGCACCCTGCGCCGAGGCCGCGGAGGGAAGGCTCGAGCTGCCGACTGGTGAGGGCGGCTCGGGCCTTCGGTGCACGCAGGAGTGACCCTGGGCAAGAGCGACCTTTCGAGCGCGGCTTCAGGGGGGCCCTGGGAGGGGCCAATTCCAGGCGCACAAACCGCTGCTATCGCATCGCGTTCTGCGATTGGGCGGCCCAGGTGGGCCCGCACCAAATGTCACTCTTACGTGTGAACATGGTGGCGCGGCGGCCGCTGGCGACTGCGAAGAGATGGCCGATGCCGCGGCGCTCGGCGGTGGCGTGCACACCTGTTGCAAGGCTCTTCGGCTCGCGCGTCGCGGCCGGAGCAGCCGCGGCGGCGCTGCAGGCTGCGCAGACTGCGGTGTCGCGACGTTCGGGTCTCGACCTGGTCGGCTTCGGCACTCTTGGAGCTCCCGGATGGCATGTTTACGGTTGGGGACTTTTGCTTACCGTGTCGCCGCGGCGGCCCTGGCGACACGCTATGCCTTGTAAGCGGATGGTGTCGCTCCGGTTCGTGGGACGGGAGGCTGGGACAAGCTCGGGACGTTGACGCTCGGGACCGGGACGCGGATAGCGTGTCGTGCCGAAGCGCGGAGGGCCAGAGCCAGCAGCGCGACCCGCTAAGCCGAAGTTCCCGACAGAAAACCCCTCCTCGACGGGTCGGTCGTCGCCGTCAGCTTCCACACCTGCGTGCACCTTTCCTGAAGTTGCGTGCTCCCCTCGCCCATGGGGGGCCGGCCTTTTTTGAGTTGATTCATCCTCTTCTTCCTATTGCACTCCTCCTTCTCTTTCAGCTCGCCCTCCTCTGCGAGCTTGCGCGCGACGCCCGCAACGCACGTCGCCCACGCCTCTGTCCGTAACCACGCCGTCACCAACCTGCTCTTTTCCTCCTCCTCCTCCGCCTCCTCCTCCTCGTCGTCTTCGCTGCCGCCGTCGCCGTTCATGTCCTCGTCGTCGCGCTCCTGCTCCTCCTCGTCCCTGCCGCCTCCCAAGTCCTTCTCCTCTTCCTCCTCCTCCTCCTCCTCCATTCTTTTCCTTGTAGATAACTCCTCCCTGTCGCTCCCCACCGAGACGTGTCGGTAGAGAGGGCCAGGCGTTTCGCCTGATAACTCCTCAGCAATTATGACCCTTCAGAAGACTGGAACTTGCAAGAGTTTTACGGATAGAGGGCGGGCCGCTTTCAAAATGTGGCTCTCGCCTTAGCTTTAGCGCCGCGCACATTCGTCTCAAAAGTTCGCAAGAACTTCACGGATGGAAGGCTGGCCGCTTTTAAAATGTGGCTCTCGCCTTAGCGTCCCGCACATTCGTTTTACAATTTCGCAAGAATTTAACGGATGGGTAGCGGTTCCTTTTCAAAATGTGGCTCTCTCGCCTTAGCGTCAAGCACGTCCGTCTTAAAAGTTCGCAAAGGGTTCACGGATGGAGGGCAATTCCTTTTCGAAATCTGGCTCCCGCCTTAGCGCCGCACGCATTCGTCGTAAGATTCTACAGCAAATTTATAAGGATTCTGATGGTTGGCGTCCGAGAAACTGCGTGTCGGTACGATGTAGGACTGTCAAGGCGCAACGATCACGTTGATATGCGGTGTTGAAGTCTCAAGATCGGTGTTCTGGCACGATGCAGGATATTCAAGACGCAACGCTAACGTTGATTCACGGCGTTGAAGTCCCAGGAACGGTGTTGTGGCACGCTTCAGAATTTTCAGACGGCTGTCCTCGAACGGGACACTTTCCTCAATGACAAAAAACACTTGTAGGGGCCT